ACATTTCCTGTTGTTAAGTATGCTGGACTCCCATGAAAGTGGAACACCTGCAAAGAAAAAAAAATGTGTTTTTCTACCCGAGAGAACATCTCTCTAGCAGTCTCTAGGGGCCCTTCCAGACAGGCCCTACATCCCAAAATCTGTTCTCAGGTTTTCTGTATATCTCACATTATCTGGCAGTGCAGACTGATATAATCCAGTTTAAAGCAGAAAACCTGAGATCACATACTGAGAAATAGGCCCTGTCTAGAAGGTTCCTGAGTTCTCTAGCATAGCTCTGTGGTCAACTACTGCTGGAAATTGGCCACAGAATAGTGCCGAAGGATCTAAGAATTACTAGAGAAGTCATATTAATCAAATCTGTGAGTAATCAAATCCACAACAATGAAAAAATGTTGTGCACTGACTGGAAAGACTGAAAACATGAAAAAAATCCTGTTTCGTCTTCCAGGAGCATGGTTTACGTTGCCTTTTAGCTGCATGGGATAGCATTCCTTTGCATTTCCCCAGGCTATAGACCCAGCAGCACCCTGGAAGTTATATCAGAGTGGAAAGCCAGGCTGCAGGCCCTCTGCAGTTATTGGTTTAGAAAGTATCTCTTTGGGTTAAGAGTCCGCCCTTTTCCCTGGGGTTGAGATCTCCATTTTGGAATCCCCCTGCCTCTTTCAGTAGAGAGAGAGAGAAAAGCCTCAGATGTGCTGTTGGTCAGACAGGCAAAGCTCTGAAAAGTCACTGTGAGTACAATTGAGAAATTGAGATAGATAGATAGATAGAATAGCAATTGAGTAATTAAGAAATTGAGTTATTAAGAAAAGCAATTGAGAAATTGAGATAGATGGATAGAATAGCAATTGAGTAATTGAGTACAATTGAAATACTGAGCTAGATAGAATAGGAATTGAGTAATTAAGAAATCGAGTTATAGATAGAAATTGAGTTATTGAGAAATAGAGAAAAATAGTTATTGAATACTATTGAGCATTACTTCATCTTCAAAGCTAACCTTGAGCTTAGAAAGGGGAAGACCTGTTCTTTCTAACCATAGCAGCTCAGGGTTAGGGTGAAAGATCCCAGGATTTTTTCTACCATTTGGAGAAAAGTTACCTCAGTAATTGAAAGAAAAGGAAAGAAAGAACAACTCTATGTTTCCCAAATTGACTGCTTGTGTTGTAACTTTATCAAGCTGTGCCAAGTCTGCCAAGGACTTTGGAAATAAATATTTTGTTGATGTTCATATTTTGACTGGCATCAGTTGCTGAAAGTATTGAGTTATTGCTTCAAAGAAAGACCGCCCAGATAAAGAGAGAAGCACATCTTAGTTTTAACATTATAGCATCTGGGTGTGATGGCACAAAGCTCCACCCCTTAAAGTAGTAGTAGGATGGATAGTAGTAGTAGTTGGAGGAATATGCCATGGCAGTAGAAAAATCCCTTTGCTACTGAAGTATGTGTATATAGTTGAGTATCATTCGTTCACATAATATAGGTAATTTTTAATGAACTGTAAGAGTTAAGTGGATAAGCTGTGAACCATGATGGCTGTGATTTAAATACAAAACATATTATATTGACATAGGAAGTTGCCACTTCCAGTATCAGTCCCGTGTTTCCCACTTGCAATGCATTAATAAGCTGAACAACATACTGTTCTAAAATTGTCCTGACAGTGGATCTAAAGTAATTTGAGATAACTTCAGTCAATAGTTAAAAGTAAGGGTACAGATATAGTTTGGATGAATCCCATACACTCAGACAAACTGGATGCTTAACCCTGAATCTAATCACATGGCTTTCCAAAGCTTTAGAGCTGCCTTGGGCCCCATTTACACTGCCATATAATGCAGCTTCAAACTACATGATATGGCAGTGCAGATGCATGAAGTCCCCAGATGACCCAACATACATTCCTGACTGCTAATCCATTAAAATCGTGGTATTCCACTGGATGTTTTCCATAAAGTAACAGCTGGGAAAGTAGGGTGGAGAGGAGTGGGTTGTAGGGTTTTTATACACTTCTAGCATCCCAAAATGAATTCACCAGGGTGCTCAATGTTGTTTCCATTCATAGTGGTTTGAAGAAGGATGCAATCATCAAAATGAACAAAAATATATATTTTTAAAAAACCAAGCAAACAAACCACAACATAACTTCTTAACCATGTATATCTTTCTGAAAATATGCAGACCATTTAACATGGTTTAGTGACATTTGACAAACACAAAAATACACACACAAACCTATATTATTCAAAGAACCATAAGAAGGTATGCAACCTACTGCTTTAAAAGCAATCTATCACATTATGTAAATCTGTTGCATCAATCTTTCTTTCTAAAACACTTCAAATTATGAAAGGCATATCTACGATACATGCTGAAACAAATAGGGCAAGGTAAAGGACCTTAGACACGATCCCACCCTTTTATAGGATTACTAGCGATGTTTATTTTGACTGCCAACAATTTAAGATTACTTCAGCAGGCTACCTCCTTATATGTGTTGCTTGTATGGGACTGTACACTGAGACGTCTAGTTGGTTCAAACAGATAAAAATGTTTATTTTACTTCAACAAGCACAAAAGCTTAATAGTTAAGGGTTAGAAGGCATCAAGTTTGTAGACGACACCAATTGGGAGTGATAGCCATTAGCCAATACTCCAAAAGACAGGAGCAGAATTCAAAACCATCTTCACAGATGGTTTTGAGATGGGCCAAAACTAACAAAATGAAGTTTAATAGTGACAAATGCAAGATACTCCACTTAGGCAGAAAAAAATGAAATGCAATGATACAGAATGGGGGACGCCTGGCTCGAGAGCAGTACGTGTGAAAAAGATCTTGGAGTCCTCATGGACAACAAGTTAAACATGAGCCAATAATGTTATGTTGCGGCAAAAAAAAGCCAACAGGAATTTGGTCAGCATAAATAGAAGTATAGTGTCTAGATCCAGGGAAGTCATGCTACCCCTCTATTCTGCCTTGGTTAGACCACACCTGGAATATTGTGTCCAATTCTGGGCACCACAATTGAAGAGAGATATTGACAAGCTGGGATGTGTCCAGGGGAGGGTGACTAAAATGATCAAGGGTCTGGAGAACAAGCCCTATGAGGAGCAGCTTAAAGAGCTGGGCATGTTTAGCCTGCAGAAGAGAAGACTGAGAGGAGACATGATAGCCATGTATGTGAGAGGAAGTCATAGGGAGGAGGGAGCAAGCTTTTTTTCTGGTGCCCTGGAGACTAGGACGCATTCCAGTTGTTCCAATGGCTTCAAACTACAAGAAAGGAGATTCCATCTGAACATGAGGAGGAACTTCCTGACTGTGAGAGCTGTTCAGCAGTGGAACTCTCTGCCCTGGAGTGTGGTGGAGGTGCCTTCTTTGGAAGCTTTTAAACAGAGGCTGGATGGTCATCTGTCATGGGTGCTTTGAGTGCAATTTTCCTGCTTCTTTGCAGGGGGTTGGACTGGATGGCCCATGAGGTCTCTTCCAGATCTATGATTCTATGATTCTACACCCTCAAGCAGTATGTCCCACTGCCAAATAGCTTTTACCACTGGAAAGTTCTTTCTGTTTTGGTGCAATATTTTTTCTTGCAATTCGAATCCGTTGCTAGTGTTCAGGATAGCAGAAGAAAAGCTGCCCCTCTCCTAAATGTGATGTCCTTTTAAAGCTCTTGTGTCCTCTCTAAGCCATCTCTTCTCCAGTCTAAAGTTGGATAGCTCCTTAAGCTACTCATAGAACTTGGAAATCCAGACCTTTGTTAATTTTGGTCATCTTTCTCTGGAAATGTTTCAGCTTGTCAATATCCCTCTTGAATTGTGGTGCCTAGGACTGGACAATATAAATAGCTATGAGAAAATGTGCAGGATACAATTCCATCCAACGACAACTATTCTGGAATATATTACATTTCTTAACCTTTGTATTCGATTGTCAACAGCCAGGCAAAATCTAGTAGTATATTGTGATACAGCCTCAGACACTAATATTATATGTCTGTTTACTGACACCTTCGACAATCCTATGAATCCCTTTTCACCTTAAAGAAAAAGCATCTGAGACTCCAATATCTTTCTAAGGCTCTGACAGCAGCTGTTTCACAGCTCCAGGTTGTATAGAAAGAGGTTCATATTCATTAAATTATATAGCCTATCTCAGTTTAGCCTTTGGAGTTTAAATTTCTTTTCTTTTCACTAGAGGTGACAGTGAACATTGCAAAAGACTCTGCTGTTTTTATATTATCAGTGATACATCCTACAGTAAGTTCAACTTTGCTCTTCAAAGAATCTATGCTTTATAACAGACCAAGAATCCAAAACATGGGATGTGTAAACACAGGAGAACTACAAGCACTGAAGAAGGTTTGCTGAAAGCATATTTCCTCTTCCCTCCTTTGAACTTTGAGCTCAATTTGGAGCAAGACAGCTGAGGAAGAAGGGGGAAAGTGGGAAGAAGAGAGAAGAACTGGGACATGATAAAAGTCACTGGAAATGTGGGATAACAGAGGACTTACCTGGGGCTCCATCCACTGCCATATAAAACTCAGATTATCTGTTTTGAACTGGATTAAATGTCTGTGTAGACTCATATAATCTATTTCAAAGCAGATAATGTGGATGTTATCTGCTTGAACTAAGCAGATAACTAAGCAGATAATTGCCATCCACTGCCATATAAAACTCAGATTATCTGTTTTGAACTGGATTATATGGCTGTGTAGACTCATATAATCTAGTTCAAAGCAGATAATGCGAATGTTTGTTGTAAATAAATAAATAAATAAAGCTTTGATAATCTGGATTATATGGCAGTGTAGAAGAGGCCTGGGCTGCCAAAGCTGGATAATTGAAGGGTATGAATTACAGAACTGTCTGTACTTTTTAATTCTTCTTCAGAGTTTAGCTCTGGGGGGCTGTCATGATGTGTTTTGGCACTTAACTATTTTATCACTGAAAAGGGGAATGTGGAATAAAAAGTAGAAAAAGGAAGAACCACCTACCAGTATAAAATGAGTCATTCATACTTTTCATGTACCTTGTCCTGTATCTCAGTGTACGGCAGGTTTTTTGGGTCTCCTGGTTTTTCTTTAGATAAAAATAAATAAAGAGGAGATTAGAAAAATACCGAATGAAGAACAACTGACTAGTGCAATGACTTTCATGCTTTCACTTAAGGCTTTTAAATGCACAGAGAAATACATGTCTATCTTCAAGAAGGCCCTGAAACTCTTTGCTAGATAAAACAAGTGTAGCCTGACACACCTATATAAGTAGCACACATGAACCTACTAAACAATATTTAAAAAATGATTTTAAAAAACCCTAGAAGTTTTTGCATTCATGACCTCAATTGTACTGCTTGAACTGACTGAAACAATTTCCTTCCACATATAAAATATAAAGGTTTGAACATCATTCAATATATATTCTTTCCTCCTCCAAAGTGAATAGTAGTGTACTATGACATTAACAAGCATTGTCACTTTTCTCAATGACCAGCATCAGAGCTGAACAGAGTCCAATTAAGTCTTTTCATTGTCCTGCGTGAGCAGAGACTGCATACCAGAATGCACTGATGGAAATACTACTCAACAGCATTGCAAAGTTTTTACGTGACTTCTCCTTCTCACACACAGGAAACGAAAGCTCTCGAAGTCTAGAAACTTCATTTAAGAAAAAAAAAATGATCACAGCACAATCTATGTTCTTAGACCTGAGGGGTGAATAATTACAAAATAAATTTATAGGTTTCATCACAGTACAATCTATGTTCTTAGACTTGAGGGGTGAATACACAATACATTTATAGGTAAAGTGATTCAAATATTATGGGGGCTTTCATCCGATTTGTCAATAAACACCAGTTCCTCTTGCACAGGTTTTTCCCTCATTGGCTCATATAATCCAAAACATCTCAGATACTTCATCATACCAGATCCCTCACAAGAATTGCCTTGTAGATATTTGGTGGTTTGTATGCCCCTCTTCAGCTGAAGGCAATAAATCTACCAGGCAAAGATAACTACTGCCTAGTTAGTGAGAGAAAGTGAAATTTCTCAGCATCCCAAACTATGTAAACAAATGACAACATGGTTAAATTATAACACCCATTGTCCACTGCACGTACATGCACACACACAAAACCACTACAAGTAACTTACATGCAACATGCAACAAACATGCTGGGGCTCATGCTCCTGAGAGATGCCACTCTTCTCTGTCTCCCTTTCCCTATTTTTATTTGCTTCCTTACAAATAAACATACACAAACTAACAAGCACGCTGCTGGAAATTCTAAGCTATATTTGTTCCTCTTCCCTTAAACCTCTGTGGCAAAATGTGCAATCTGTTCTGAAAAGGTCAGAAAAAGGACAAGCCTTGCTTTGTAACTAACCACTGGAAAGATTTGGGGTCATCTGTCTATTTTCAGGCAGAATGTCTTCATTATTGTAATGACAGTTAGGAGAAATTTTGTCCTGGAGATATTCATACTCCTCTGATACAAAGAAATGACTTTCTTTTTGTCTTTTCCCTTTCCTTTTGTATTTGTATGCAACTTCTGGATCTTTAAGGTATAAATATTATATGTTTATTATAGCAACAAGGTTTTTTATATCAGTACTTAATTTTAATAAGACTTACTTGGTTGAGTTTTATGAAGTCTACCAAAATAAAATCTGACATAGACTCGATAGTTGATACAACTTCGATGGATGCAACCTTGCCCCCTGCTTATTCAGTATTGATGGATACTTTTAATTTGTGCAGCCTGAAGATGTGGAAAGGATTTTTGGAGAGGTGAGAGTTTTAGGCCTCTGCTCTTCCGGGTTCATAAAACAGGCCAAAGAAGGGCTGGTAGAGTAGACCAGGAAGTGATTAATGGCTCCTTGCATCAAGGAAGGGTCCCTATGGGCTTAAAAAAAACTTCCCTAGACCCCACTGTACTTGATAACTACAGATCAACTACCTGGGGAAGGTATTGGGGCATGTGGTGGCTTCTTAACTCCAAAGGTTCCTGGATTAAGCAGATTTTTCAGGCCTGGTTATGGCACAGATACAGCTTTGGTCACCTTTGTGGATGACCTGTGGTAATAACTGGACAGGGAGAGTGTCCCTATTGGTTCCCTGGACTTTCAGCAGCTTTTGATACCATTGACAATGATATCTTTCTGAGTCACCTTTTTGGGACGGGGCTTGGAGATACTGTTCTTCAGTGGCTCTGTTCCTTTCTCAGGAGATGGTTAGGGTTAGGTGGTGCCAGGGGACTCCTGTTAGACTCTTTGTCTATTGCCCTGTGAGCTTCCTCAGGGTTTTATCTCACCTGCTGTTTAACATATACATGAAACCATTGGGAGAGGTCATCTGGAGTTTTGGAGTGTGGTGCCCCAAATTGCAGATGACACCCAGATATCAGCAGCTACCAGGAGTGCTTTTGCACAATTAAAACTGCACCCGCTCCTGAAGAAATCAAATCTGGCCACAGCAATACATGACTTTGTTATATCCCATTTGGATTACTATAATGCACTCTATGTGGGGCTGCCTTTCAAATGTGTTTAGAAAGTTCAGTTGGTCCATTGAGCAGCAGGCATACTACTAACTGGGATTGGCTACAGCGAGTGTACAACTCCTATTTTGCAACAGCTCCACTGGCTGCCAATATGTTTCTGGGCACAATTCAAAGTGCTGGTTTTGACCTACAAAGCCCTATATGGCTATAGTCTAGGTTATCTGAAGGATTGCATCTCCTTGAACATGATTTAATTTATGATCTACTGGAGAAGATTTTCTCTCTGTTCCACCACCTGCTCAACACAGGAACACAGGAGAGGGACTTTTCAGTGGCTGCTTCTAGACTGTGTAACTCCTATCAAGAGAGACCAGAATAGCCCCATCCCTACTTGCCTTTTGCAAGCAGGTAAAGTTCTTCTCTGCCAGCAGGCATTTCAGAAAGGATAAGAAGCACACTGTTGGGGAAGTTTTGGTTGGGATTATGGGGACACTGTGATTTTTAAATGCTACTTTATGTGTTTATAATATTTTAAATATATTTAACCTAAATCCGCACTATGCCTCTAGAACATAGCCATATAGCCCAAAAAAATCTACAACAACCCAGATCCAAAACTGTTTATTGCATAAAAAGTTGGGAGTGTTTCCAACTTGTCCAGCCTATGCACTTAGAGCTAAAGTTGGAATGATGGTATAGCTAACATTATACAGTTGTTTCAAGCTAGCATCCATGAAGAAAAATAGGCTTCCACTGAAATTTTTAAAAGAAGAATTGAATGAGAGGGGACATGATCGCCATGTTTAAAAAAACTGTCAGGCTGTCACTTTGAGGAGGAAGAAAACTTGTTATCTGTTGCTCTATAGCAGGAATGGGCAATTTTTAGACTTCAACTCCCACAATTCCTAACAGCCTGCTCTAGAAACTAGAAAAGAATGCTATAATCACAAAAAGTCAACATGGGTTTCTCAAAAACAAATCATGCTGGACAAACCTTATCTCTTTTATTTTTGATACAATTATAAGGTTGGTGGATGTAGAGATATAATGTATCTTGATTTCAGTAAAGTCTTTGACAAAGTTTCCCAGGGCATTCTCACAAAGAAGCTAAGAAAATATGGGTTACAATGCTACTGTTAGGTGGACTGGGAATTGGTTGACTGTCCAAACCCAAAGGATGCTCACCAAATACTCTTCCTCATCCTGGAGAAAAGCGACCAGTGAGGTGCCACAGGAGTCTATCTTGGGGCCACTGCTATTCAATATATTTATCAATGATGTGAATGACAGAATAGAAGCATGTTTATCAATTTGCAGATGATACAAAATTGGGAGGGATAGCTAATCCCTCAGAGGACAGGATCAAAATCCAAAATGACCTTAACAGATTAGAGAGCTGGGCCCAAACAAGATGAATTTCAGAAGAATGAACTGTAGGGTACTACACTTTGGCAATAAAAATCAAATACCAATACAGAATGAGTGACACCTGGCTTGAAAACTATCCATGTGAAAGGGGATCCGGGAGTCTTAAAAGACCACAAACTGAACATGTCAATAGTATGATAAATTAGCTAAAAACCAATTTTATTCTAGGCTCCATCAAGGCAAGTATTCTGCTTTGATCTGGCCTCATCTGGAGTACTGTGCCCAGTTTTGGGCATCACAATTCAAGAGGAATATTGACAAATTGGAATATGTTCAGAGAATTATGATGAAAATGATCAAAGTTTTGGAAGTCAAGCCTATGAGGAACAGCTGAGGGAGCTGGGTATGTTTAGCTTGGGAAAAATAAGACTAAAATGTGACATAATAGCAATGCTTAAATATTTGCAAGGATGTCACATTTAGGAGGGGGCAAGATTGTTTTCTGCTGCTCTGAAGACTAGGAGATGGAGCAATGAATTCAAATTACAGAAAAAAGATTCCACCTAAACAGAAAGAACTTCATGATGGCTTTTGGCCATGCTGACAACTAACTAAAGGACCTGTCGATAGACAAGGACAATGGAATGGAATGGATATATTGACTCTGATATATGGACTCTGACATGAGATAGTTTTTATGATTTTATTAGGTATTGATGTTTTATTTTAATTGTTGAATTGTTATATTTTGTATTGTTTGTTGTGTGACTTGGGCATCTAATTGTGCCTTCCCTGTAAGCCGCCCTGAGTCCCCCCCGGGGTGAGAAGGGCGGGGTATAAGTAGATGAAATAAATAAATAAATAAATAGAGCTCTTCAGCAGTTGAATATACTGCTATGGAGAGTGGTGAACCCTGCTTCTTTGAAATGTTATAAGCAGAGTCTGGATTATTGTGCTTTCCTGCATGCTAGAGGTTTGGAATAGATGGTTCTTGTGGTATCTTCCAACTCTATAATTCAAAGCTCTTTCTATGATCTAAGTTATAAGATTCAATTGTATTGGTTAGATACATTTACAAGGATTTAATTACCTTAAGAATTACTGATACCAGAGCTTTGGCCACTTCTAGTGCTTGAAAGGAGATAGATAGAGCAAAACACAATTAAAGGAGTGAAGGATCTGTTTCTTGAAATGAACGGGAATCATC